TCAGTCAACCGTTTATAAATACATCCTACACCTCAGAGCAAAATATACATTACTAGCTGTGTCAGCGACTTCGTCCGCATAGACTAGTTATTTTGGGCATCCAAATTTGCTTTTGGAAACCTCCTCTTCATCATTATAAGTTTAATCTGTTACCTACGAAAGGTAAATTATTCTTTCATACATAAATTTTGGGTACCTTGAACCGTTTTCACAGTTTACGAATCGGAAACCCACAAGTAATTTTCCCCGTTTTTCCACATTTCCCGCTATTTCCTCCCACCAACACAATAGTTTTTAAATTTGAAATAGTAGTTCCTGAGATTAGCGCTTTCAAACAAACAACAAGACTATTCAGCTTTACATATTATGAATAGATATGAATGTTAAAGTAAAACACTAAGTGGATATCTCGGTATCTTTATTAGTCTGTGTTCGACGTCTATATACTGATGGACGTGGTAACTATATGGGAGCCAACATCTTCGTGCGTGTGTCTAACAAAACGACCCGCGGTTCGTGTTGTTAAGTTTTAGTTATGAGTTTGGAGCACGTCAAGTAACGGTCGGTCAGCGGTCATGTTAATTTTTCTTATGAGCCAATTGTTCTTTAAAACATTTCTTTCACATGAGGTATTTGATTAACTCATTTAAAGTCTTGAGTTTTTTATTTATGTTACAAGCTATCGAAGAAAGTATGATAATAAGATAGTTTATTTTAAATACGGTTTAATTTCAATATCGATATGGGTCTAACTTATTATATATTAATTAAAAATCGATTATAAGTTGAAAAAATTACATTTTTTGGTCTTTTTTTTCTTTTGCCCCCCCCCTTTGGTTTTTCCCCCCCCCCCCCGCCCCCCTTTTGGTTTTTTTTTTTTTCTCCCCTCCCCCCCCCCCCCTCCTTTTTTCCTTTTTTTTTTTTTTTTTTTTTTTTTTTTTTTTTTTTTTTTTTTTTTTTTTTTTTTTTTTCCCCCCCCCCCCTTTTTTTATATTTTTTTTTTTTTTTCCCCCCCCCCCCGGGGTTTTTTTTTCCCCCCCCCCCCCTTTCTCTTCACGACACGAGGCAGGCCTGACAAAAAGGCATTCACGTGTTGTTGCCCTAAACACAGTAACTCAAGTGGTTATATAGTGCCATCATGTGCAAAAACATGTGAAAAATATTAAGATTTTCAAAAGCGTTATACATTATTAAACTTAATTATCGCCCCCTTCGCCGGCTTTTCTACGTGAAAAATTTTACTAATATATATTGTGTTTTAAACTGTTAAAGTGTTTTACTATATAATGTTTTCAACTCTACTACTAACTAAATTACTGAAATATATTTTTATCTTTAGTTGCGTTTTGCCTTATTATCTCCAGTGATCTGTAATTACATTTTTTCAACTTTTTTATCTAGCCCGTTCTCACGCACTAAAAAAAATGTAACTCAGTACGTCGGTCACAATCAAACGTAAGAGTCAACGAACTTACATTTTCTCATTACTCATATTTCAAACAAAAAAGATCAGCACGAGACTCGGCGTCCGGTTACTCGATACATTGCTTCTTTCGTTACACACTAAAACAAATTTCATGAACCAAAACATCAGTGTACAGCGAACATGACAGATCATTTATCTTCGTTGAGGCAAGGTCAAACAGGAAGATAGTTATTAATTATTGAAGCGCATGTGTGGCGAAATCCAGATGGACTTAAGCTTTGAGCGTACTTTCGATATCCGTTGCCCCTTCCGCCATATTGAATTTCTGGTGACGTCATCCTTTCAAGTCTGTCGCGCTTATGACGGGTCAACTTCGCTGTAAAATTAACACATTTAATCGAGATCCAATAATTATCTATACTAATAGGAGCGAAAAAACAGCGGGAAATTTGAAAAAACAAAAAATTGGGCGTACATTTTCATCTTTGTATGTATCAAGATTCTCAAAAAATATGTCCGTGAAACTAAACGTCTATTTTTTAAGATTAGAGGAGGTTTGCAAAAACAAATTCGGATGCCCAAAACAATTATTCTACGCGGACGAAGTCGCTGACATAGCTAGTGCAAATTAAAAAAAACAATAACAACGCATTCAAAACTCCGTCCATCCAAGAGTATTTATTTTCTTCTCTGTGAGAACTATCCCTTATTTTCACTAACATATAGTTTCGCTCAAGTGATTAAAACGTCAGTATTTGGACGACACAGTGCGTCCGGTCAAGAGCATTCGCTAATTGAAAAATTGTGTTCGATTCGGTAAACGATTTTAATTTACGAAAACGTAATGGCTATGTCAGTAATTTCAATGATCGTCGTTCCTCGTTGATGACGGAATTGCGACATTCTAACATAGACGTTATAAGTTAAATTTTAACAAAACGTAGGTTTAGTACAGTATCAAGAAAGAGAAGATACATACGACGGTTTAGTTGTTCAAAGGTAATTTTAAAGACTTAAATTTAAAATAAATTTCTGAATACTGTCTATAGTTTACGCGAGTAGTATATATTTAAATAAAACACGTTAACGGTTTAAAACGCGTATATTACTTAAATTTATTTGAAAATTATTTTTAACTTCGGCCCGATGTCTCCCCGTGACCACGGCTGCTGCAAAGCATCCGAAATGTCGGGCCGAAGTTAAAGATCATTTTCAAATAAGTTTAACAAATATATCGAGTTTAGAACCATTGAAGTGTTTTATTAAAAAAAAAAATTAATAAAAAATTTGCATGACATGTCTGGGACTCAAACCTGATGTAGGTTTGAGTCCTTAGCGTTCCCTGCTGTCACTTCTAACAATTGATCGTTGAGGCGGGCCTGGGTACTTTTAAATTTAAATGTATAACCACGAGTTTCTTATACTTTGTACTGGCCTTAAAGGATAATATTAACTTATTATTAATTTAGTCTCCATCCTAAAATATGTTCTTCCAATTTCAAAAGTGACCTTAAATAAGAACGGATTTAAGTGAAGTTGTTACTCTGTATTGGGGTCCGAAACAGATTCATTGTTGTGTGACCTTAGTACGGTCACACTGCGGGCGGGTTGTTTATTGATACAGCGATTTGGGTAGGAAATTTGTAGACCGAGACATAAATATGTATTTTATATAATCCATTGTTATTTAATAGAATTTTAACAGAGTAAAAACCTTTTTCAATTCGTTAATAAAAAAAAACACGTTGTCCAGACTAGTTAGGCAATCTTAGATTAAAACTAAATATTGATAAATTATGATTATTAATGAATTTAATTACGTGAATCTTATAAATATCACTACTGGAAGAATTGCCCCTTGGTGTTAGATAAACATTGGTAACTTGTTTATTTCCGCTGTCAATGTAACCACACTAACAACGTTTCCCACGGATTTATTTGTGATGTCCGCAAGACCTTGGCTGAATTTCGTCTGCGAGGGTTCGCGTGCAATAACTTGATTCTTTTGTTGTATTTTTGTGTAACATCAATTGTGTTCGTGTAAACGTGAAAGGAGTTTAATTCGTTGTTGTGATAACTATGAACTTTTATACTTACTAAAAATTGTACAAGACACTCGACGAAAAAAATGGCTTAGATTAATATAAGTTGGACTAGTTGAGTATTAAAATTGGAACAAAAATATTGGCGCTGCTACTGGTTACGTAATATAAAAAATCTTTAAATAAAACATTTTAACGGAATAAAACGTTATATATATTAGTTAAACTTATTTGAAGCCATGGTCGCAGGGACACGAATGCTGCGAAGCACCCTAAACGTCTGCCCGTAGTTAAATAAGTATAACACTATAATTAATATATATCGCGTTTTAAACCGTTAAAATGTTTTATTTAAATGTGTACTACTCGCGCAAACTACAGACACAATTTAAACAATATTTAAAAAGTTTCTCTCATAGTATCAAAGTAGTTTTAGTAAGAACTCGAGAACATGTAAATAAAGTATAAAGTAACATGTACAATATTTTGATCAAAATCAAATGGAACAAAACGACCTTGTCGATTTCGTACAAAACGATATAAGTTCTAGTCTTATTTCTTTAGAGAGTAATGACCTGAGCTCAGGTAGTTAGGATTTTTGGCCCGACTGGTTTCTTAACGACCGTTTGAGTATAATTCGCAATTCTTTATATATACACCAATTCTATATGAAATTTCGCATTCAAGTTTATCAAATGCATTGAATATTTAAAAAGGATTTTAGTACCTTAGTTTAGCATTCTATTCGACACCATAGTTCTTTGACTCGTTGGTCTAAAATTAGCAATGGGTTATATTTTTTTTTTATTCTGAAGCATGTTAAATTCATGTGGAAATTTGAATTTTAAGAAGATGGTAAAGATATCGAAATTCCGTTACGGCTACGAACCACCGTTTCACAGGTGAAAAATTGGGGTTTCAGCCTGTGCATTTCCGAATATCCGAAATCCAAACTTAATCTAGAAACTTAGCTTTAGCAATTTTACTATTGAAGCATGTTAGGTTTGCCTATAATTGTTTTAACATTTAACTTATTTTTTTTTTATAAAAAAATGCTGTGTGAGTTAATAAATGTTGGTGAACTATTAAAATATTATATGGCTGAGATATTCACCTTCCACGAAATGAAACTCATCATATCTGTCCTCTATCTTAAAAAGAAGTTAATTTAAATGTTGTTTTTACTCTAACATACGCAGTATTAATATGTAAATCGTTACAAATCGTTCAAACTGGTTCTTAAAGGCGTAAATTACCTGATTATTTAATGATTAACTCATGTGACCTTAACTTCGTCGTAATTCATTAATTAAAGTGATACCCGAAACCTCAAAATAACCTCGGCGGAAAGTGTGTTAAATGGAGTGAATAAGTACAAATTTTACAGGCAAATGTACGTCGAAATAGACCGCGAGACATTAATGTTGCCATATTAAAATAATAAGTGTGTCAAGGGGTAGCAACATTCCATATAAAGACTTAAAAATCGCGAATGCTCTGTGTAAGTGAGGACAGCTGACATCCATGACAAAATGTCTACCCAGGCGTATTATAAGGAGCGGCTCGGCTTCGACCCCCAGGAAGCGGAATTGAATGGAGGTTTCTTCGATGGGCCCCAAACGAAGCGACCGAGGGGTGACAAGGAGAGCCACGATCAGGTCTATGAGGAGAACCTGACCAAATTCAAAGGTACAACTTGTTGGGGTTTCTTTATACAGCAGGCAGGTTCGTGGTGATGGTATAGAGAATGCGAGTGGCTTTTGTTTTCGATGTTTTTTTATGCTGCAAAGTCTACCAGCAATCTAATAATACATAATTCTTCTCCATTATAAATATAGTCTGGGATATATAATAAAAAACTAATATGTTTTTATTATTACGAGAAGGCACGATCTGGTTTGTATTTGTAAATTATGTATTACTAACGAGGCGAAATCATTATTTTTTATTGGTTCGCTCGTAGTTTTCTGTTTTTCGTCATTAACATTTTAATAATAATCTTAAAACATTTTGATGATTGTGCTCTATATTCCATTGTGTTATTTTTATTTAATATACATAATTGATATCAGTAATTTCAATATATTTAAAATACTTACTTAACATAATTATTATATAATGTATCATTTTAATCTATACTAATATGTATAGTATTTCGTTTGTTTGAACGTTAGTTCAGTTGAACATTTTTTTTGTGTTGGTTACAGCAACTATAGAAAATATAAACCCAACTAAGGCTTTATGAAATAGTAAATTTTCGGCCGACATTAACACCATGCGCACCGAATTAAGAAGATAAAATTCTCTACGATACATGGTTCTTTAAGATGCGGTATATTAATATAATTCGATTTGCGGAACAACGATAACATATTATTATCTAGGTATATGTCGTCACACAAGAATCGAGCACCTGATAAAATGTTTTGCAGTGATAAGATATATTCTGATATATTTAAATATCTTTTGTTATTGCCGATATCGTGTTTCCGTAATTGCTGTTGTTCAAAATATTTGGTATTAAGGACAGTTTATTGCAAGGGTATAGAGAAAATAATATAAGCGAAACTATTTTATAATTTAAAAATCCAAAATAAAGTGAAAAAATTTTCGACTTGGGCAGGACAAAAAAAATCAATTGATTTTAGATTTTTAAATTACATAGTGCCTTCATGTGCAATAACATGTGAAAAACATTAAAGTTTTCAACTATTTTATATTTAAATAAAACACCTTAACGGTTTCAAACGCGATATATTTTAGTTAAACTTGTTTAAACATTATATTTAACTACGGCCCGACGTTTCGGATGCTTTACAGCAGCCGCGGTCACAGACTCGGAGACTCATATAAATCGAATATATCGCGTTTTAAACCGTTCAAGTGTTTTATTTAAATGTGTACTACTCGAGTAAACACAGTATGTAAATGAATTTGAAATTTTTGAATGTTGGTTCGAATCCCGCCCGTGTCTGTAAATGTTAAATTTATTTTTATTTATGAAAATTTGTATGGAAATTCGTAATTTTTTGAAGCTCAAACAATAAAACTTTCTTCTTTGGCTTTTTGGGAATAGGAGTGGGAGTGAGTGTAGGAATTAGTGTGGGAGTTAGAGCAGGAGTGATGTGAGGTGAGAGTGTTGCGGCAAATAGCACTTACGTAAATTAATAAACAAACAAGTCACTATTCCACGAGGACGAAGTCGCGGGCACAGCTAGTTATATATAAAATTGTCAATTCATATATGAAATAGTTAATATGCAGAGCTTGTATCTAGACTATATAAGTGTAAGTGACATCACAATGTGTACTTAGTGTTCATTAGATTAATGACATCGAAACGAAACGGTCATGTTTTAAATTGTTGCATTTTCAATTGGCGTGCCTGATTGATCAAATGAATTGATTCGTTTTGAGCGTCCCGAGTTGGGAATTAAGTTTCTTTGTTATTAGATGTGATGCTTACGAGCAATTTATCTTTTAACCTTTCGTCTTTGTTACAAACTGCTGGGCTCAAAAAAGACAACTTTTAATTTCTCCATCAAAACTCAGGTTTTGTGTATATCTACGAAAAAACATTGTTTCGCTTTAGTGTGTTAGTTTGAGTTATATATCTGTATTTATCATATATATATATATATATAATTGTTGCTATCTTACACAATATGTTCACAAGCAGGGTTAAAAGCTTTGTTAAAAATTGAGTTTTTTACCGATTTTACAATTCACGGGGACCTGAAGTTCGCATTTTTAATTGTTCACGCACTAATACTTCGAAAATATGGAAAAAACACTCGTAGATTACGTAGGCTTACACTTTCAATCAAAGAAGCTTTTGTTAAATGTCAAGTAGTGTGAAATCGAAACAGTGCTGCTTTGCAGTGAAATCAGATGCTATCTGTATAGTTAAGAATTCTTCGAAGTCCCAAGCAGTGACGTCACGCAATTCTAAACGATTAGACCTCCATATACAGCATATTTGCATACTCAGACTTAGATAAAATCGGACGTGAGTTGTGAGACAAACTTCTCGGTATAAGGTGTTCCAGTCAAGTTAACCAGCATAGTTCTACAGTTGGTATTCCAGTTGTAGAAGTATATACAAGAAAAAGCTAATAAAATATTATATTTCAAATATCGAATTGTTTAAACGGATTCGATATTTAAAAATTACATCAATACAACGACAGGTAGGTAACCTCATTCTTCGTTAAGGCCTGGCCCAAATTGGGTTTTTTTCCTTTAACTGCATAAATGTACATTTTTCTAACATTATACTGATAGTTTTGTTTATACAAGTTTTATTTTTAATTATACATTTTAATTTTCATGAGTATTGTCTGTAGTTTAAATATTAGTCGAAATATATTGGTTAACTTATTTGCAATTTATTTTACTAATAGTATAATATACCATTCACCACCATGGTCAGGGCTTCTAAGTGTTTTATTTGAATATATTTATTTACTAGCTGTAACAACGATTTCGTCCGCGTAGAATAGTAATTTGGGAATCAAAATTTGTACGCCTCGGAAACCTATAATGATAAATGAGACTAGTTTGTTCAAATGTACATACAAACAAAATTTTTCAGCTTTACATATTTGTATAGATATATTATAGTTATTGTGTATGTTGTCTGTCTTCCACTATCTTTAGTTTCTATCCATTATCGATATGGAAATTTGTGGTTGTCTAATAAACTATCTATTGAATTGAAGTTTCACAATCAGTCCAAAACAATGCAGATAGTAAAATTTAATGCAATAGACTGCAATAAATGTTATCAGGCGATCACTTTAATCTGCAATGTGGTTAGGGTTGCCAAAAAAACCTTGAAGGCGTTATGTAAATATCGATTTCACTAGGTATATATGAAACTCTGTTTATGTAGATAATATTTTTTATTTCGTTAAAAAATATGAATCTAAACATTCGAGTCTTTTTTTTGTTTTATCGACAACCCTATGACCGTTATAAGTTTATATTCTCTATTGCTCGTAACCACTGGTGAAATGCAGATTTTGCTGAGAACGGAAATGGTCTATATTATACAACTTGTCGCCTTAGCCATAAACATATAGATTACATTTTAGAGATATATAACGTTAGTTAACGCATACTTATTGTGTCGGGTTAAAGATTGTATTTCAATAAAACGTTATAAATGCAAGTATATATTCGTTATTTATTCCCAACGTTATTCTTTTGTTTTTGTGTGTTTTATTTAAATTGTTTCGCGTAAGCGTTCATTTCTACGAAAATGCATTTATGCCCTCGTTGAGTCAGTCACTATGTTACATAATTTATCAGTGGTTTTACTAAATTAGGTAATGTTTATGAAGGTCATGTGAGTGAATAACAATTATCAATGAAAGTGGACGTGGGCAGCTGTTTATTACTTTTAATATTGACAGTTATTATATTAACTAACAATTATGTCCGCCTGTTTTATATCCTAAAGAATTAATGGTACTTACCAAATATTTATTCGGTATTTTTAATATGAACATACACACTTCAAGTTAAATACGTTTTTTTTAATAGCCTGCCTTAATAAGCGTTTTTCTTATACGTAGAAAATCCCAAAAAGAAGTAAATCCCGTGTCGACCCCATGGAAATGGGCAATCCCATGGAAATCTGTCTTCGTTTTACAGATCGATTTTTCTTCACACGCACGTTGTTAATCAAACTTCTGTGAACTGCTCGATCGAAGCAATCTATTGTTTCTCCGGGATTCGAATCCAGGACTACTCGCGCTTAACACAATGCTAGGCAACACGTTTAACCATTTAGCTACAGATGCGGCAGAGAAAAATTACATAAATTATGTATTTGTTAAAAATAAGTTTGAAGTCCTATTTGTTAATACAATACTCTAAACTAAATATTATAAATAAGTTGATATATACAGTCGCCTATAATTTCTAGGAAATTGCACGATGTCAGCCAAGTATGTTGCGTATTTAATGATCTGTCTGAGAGCTTAATTAAGATGTAATGCCTAGAGCTCTCTATCTCTTTCTGTAATTGTAAGCTAAAATTATATATATATATATTATGAACGTTCTCTAAGCGTTAACGTTTTACATTTTATGACGTTTATTTATTTTTTATAAGATATGTCTGATACATAGATATCATTGGATGAAAATGCCAATACATAGTAACAAAAATAAGTGTACATACATATTTTGTACAGACCTGCTGTAAAACGCCGAATACCTAAAATTTCATTATCGATAAAATATGTTGCACATGGTGGGGTGGGACTTCTCATAATTCCTGTGAGTATAGTATTCTGTATATTCATACCAAATATGGCTCTATGGGAATTATTTTACGCTTTGAAGTGTAATTTGACTGGCCTTATAGTTGCTAAAACAAAAGTGATGCCGTCCGCACGTGATGGCGAAACGTCGAGAACCTCTTCTCGCTCACGTCGGCCTAACAGTCCGAAAGAAAAAGACAAGCTAATAAAACTGTTTGCGGGCTTGTTTGTATAGAAGTAGCAATGCCTAATAATCATCGGGTCGTGGGTTCGACCCCAACGGGTCCAACATTTTTCTTATCAATTTTTATTTTATAAAATCCAAAGACCAAAGAAGTATGGAGATTAACTATTTACGAAAAAACTCCCGATTCCGTGTCAATGAGCAATCCAGACAAAGGTGAATGACCCCCGCTAATCTAGACTCGATAATAGACAAAGTTCCTATAACGGAGGTCGTTGCCAAACTATTTTCGTTACGGAAGTAATTCCGCATCTCGGCTATTTTGACACGAAACATACCATCGATTTTAAAATATACGAGATTTAGAAGTAAAGAAAACACTTTCAACTTCTACTATGTAATATATGTATAAAGCTGAAGAGTTTGTTTGTTTGAATGCGCTAACCCCGTGTGCATATTCCCCGCTTTTTCAATATTTCCCACTGTTTCTTCGCTGCGATGTTTCAAAGCATGTAGCCTTCTTCGATAAATGCTTTAACGACCACAAAATTATTTTTCAATTCGAACCAGTAGTACCTGAGATTAGCGCATTATTAGCGCACATCGAACTAAGTTAGCGCAACAACCAAACAAAGAAACTTCAGCTTTATATAATATGTTTTATAAGATTAATAAAAAAAAAATATTCAAGTTTTACCCTAAAGGTTTAATAACTTAACATAAATTCTAGATCAGGTTTTTATTTTCGATCTTGACCTTTTGAAATTACTTAAAAATGTGTTTTGAATATATTAATACTAGCTTTTGCTCGTTGTTTCGGTCGCGACCGAATATTTTAACATTATCACTAATGTCCCGATTTTTTTTATTTAATTATACATATTATATGTGCGGCTGTACTTTTTAATTCTAGAACTCTATACTGCATCTATTAAATGAAAATTTAACTTATTATTTTAAATTACCGCGTTAAAAACAAACATATGTACAAGAAAAACATTGGGAGGATTATTATTCAATGAAATGTTGTTATGGTTTTTCAATCTCGCGTATATAGAATTTTGATTCAAATTTTATTCTGTTATTTTCAGATGAACGGGACGCTATACAGAAGAAGACGTTTACGAAATGGGTCAACAAACACTTGAAAAAGGTAACGTACTACAAATTTATTTAATTTAATAGCACTCTAACCACCGAAGCTCGGATGTTTTAACGAGACTAGAAATATATTTTTTCTGTGTTAAGTCCTTATCGAAAATGTTTTTTATTTACTTAAGTACGAATCTTAAATAATTAACAATGTAATGTAATGTAAGGTGATAAGTAATTAATTCATGTAAATATTGCTCATGGATATATACATCGTATAGGTTAATCATATTGGACATATTAATAAATCTTGTCGGATGTATAATTTATATGACCTAGTCTAATTTTTGCTAGTAGGTTTATTTGTTTATGTGACGTTGTTATACGCGATTCAGTCTGGATTGCAAAATGTCCCCATTAATTTAATATTTATTATTATAAAATAATTTCAGACTAATTTTTACCGTATTTTTGGAAAACAAGCGATAAATTAAAAAAAAATGTCCATTAAAATAAGAAAATATTATCTTAGTCAAAACTCAATTCTTATCTTCATTTATATAGGTTCTTGTTCCGAGATCAAAGCACAAATTGCACAAGACGCATTCTTCGGTTTACCCATATATAATAATTTGTAATGATTTATCTCATTGCACAACCTCCCTGAACAGTTGAGATGAATCAGCAAACATTTGGCGCGGTGAGCGAAAGTTTATTGTTTACGAATTGTTGTGTATAATTACATTTGTCAGCAGATGCTTTACCACCTTAGAGTAAATAAATGTCGGACATTTAAGGCTTGATGTGGCATTGGAAATTCACGAGGAATGGATACTTAAGTTTACATATTTCGTATAGCTATCCAAAATAAATACACCTGTTAAAATGTTAATTTTATTAAACATATTATTAAAACAATATTCACATATGATTAATAATAATACATGATGTAGACAAGTGTATATAATATTATAAGCATACACAGGATTTACATCTTGATAAAGCAATTTAAATGAAATCTATACTTACATATAAAGCTGAAGAGTTTGTTTCTTTGTTTGTTTGAACGGGCTGATCTTGGAATCTGGTTCGAATTGACAATTTATTTTTGTGTTGGCTAGAACTTGTATCGAGGAAGGCTATAAAACAGCTCTGCGACTATTATAGGAGCGACAAAAATGGGGTAAATAAATCATCCTTTGGGTTTCCGTTAGGTACGCTGCGAAGACGGTTTAAGACACCTTAAAATTATGTATACGAGAATGATTCCTCTTGAAGTAAAGGCGAATCTCTTAAAATTGACAAGATCGACATGCGTATAGTGTGTTGGCGACATTAATTTAAAATAAGTTATTTAGTTTTAGTTAAATTCGAAGTTTAGAGTCGCTAAATCACTCGGACGAAAATGCAAGTAATAGTTTAACATATAGCACTAGAATATTAAAGATATTATTGTAAATATACATTCTTATATTAACAACTTATAGTAAAGCTGTTACGAAATGCTAACGATAATTCCATTCAGGCGTTGCAAAAATCAGTATGACGGTCTCGTTAATAGTGACATTATACGTCAAATAAAAGTGACGTGTAGGTTGCGCGTGAGTCGCAATGATTGATCGGAATATTGATCGTCGATAATCCTTATACTTTGTACTGTGTCGTGGTCACGGCGACACGTCACATGCGTTTTAAGTAGCTTATGTCAAAAATTCGCAAATTGTACTGGCATTGAAGTATGTGAGCCGGTTTTCAAGGTACATACATGAATCAGTAAGGCCTGAAGGGAATTATTTATTGTTATTAACATTAAAGGGAATTATTTGTTATGATTAAATGTTCGAGACTTATGTTCAGAGGTCATTTTAGGGTTTCGGGGTCAGAGAGCAAAGCGGAACCCTATTACGCTGTGCGAGTCATCGTATTTAGTCAGATTTTGGAGATGTTTTTCCTCGAATCAATAAGTCTGTTTTAAACGTATAAATCAGACTTATTGATCTTACCTACATTGTATCTTCCTCCTAAATATCTTTATAAATTATATCTGTTACCCACGGCGTCGTTGGCGTTCCGGACATTTTTCTAGATCATATAAAGAGGAACCACTCTTTCATAAATATTTTTTGGGTATCTTGAACCGTTTTTGTAGCGTTCGCAACAAAAATCCACAAGGGTCAATAATTTCTCCGATTTTATTTTACATTTCCCGCTATAGGTTAGCGCGTTAAAGCATATATAGTATTAATAGTGCGTATGTTAAGATTTTTTTTTGAAACTCACTATGTTGGATGGATTGTTATAATTATCTTAGTCTATTTTAAATAAAAGTAACATTGGCATTTGAATATTATTCTTTAAAATAACAGCTTTTCCATTTGTATTTATTGAAGTTTTAAACTGTCAAAGTATGTAACCTTAGTGTCTATAAAAATGACAAAGCCTCGATATAAACGAATTGAAATTGCTCGAATCCTTTCATGCAAATAACATTAGCCCAGACGCCTTTGCTCTCGTTTATTTCGCATTCCTCGAACCAATATGTCCGTCGTTTATTTATTAAAGCTCGTTATTAATCAACAAACAAGCGTTTGTACTGAGCGCACAGTGCTTCCTTTGTGAAAGTTTAAGATCATTTTTGTATCCATGTGACCTGTTTTATACAGAACTCTTTGTATAAATACTGTATGTAGTTTACGCGAGTAGTACACATTCAAATAAAACACTATAACGGTTTAAAACGCGATATATATTAGTTAAAGTTATTTGAAAATTATTTTAACTACATCCCGGCGTTTCGGATGCCTACCAGCAGCCGTGGTCACGGGAAGACCAAATTCAAAGAAGTTTGACTAATATAATTGCGTTTTAAACCGTTAAAGTGTTTTATTTATTTGTTTGTATGGTGTTACTAAAATAATATGTGAATTTATTTAAACACTAGTTCTAGTTAGTAGCCTCATATTTTGTTATTTGAAAACGCATTTGAAACATTTTAAAACTAGATGGCGCCTCGCGTACGTCTACCGCCTGCGCCATTGATATTTTTAACCTAACTTTTACCTTTCTCTGAAACCTTCGTCAATTCAAGGCGTTCTATAAAATGTATATAGAACTATGTTACTAAGTATAGTCAGAAAGACGCTTTCCTTAATTACTATAGTAAATATCCAAAGCCAAAATAGCCAGCACCTCTTCTGTAGGTGGGAATATGGTTTTGATATTTCACCTCATTATGTGAGAGACACTATGCTTGTCTGTCTATACTCTACCTCTGTCATAAAGCAATTTTAATGACACTAAGCATACAATAATACTCCTTGTAGTTTTAAATGACCATAAGTCACTGTCGCACCTGCGCAGTAAAACTCATTCATAGACTGTTTGAAAACAAAACGGCGCAGTCGTTGAACTATGAACCGCAATAAGACTGGCAATATCAGATTGCAAATGTTTATAGAACTCAACAAAGGATGTTATGGTAGCCTGCGCGTGAGTCACAAGGCATCGAGATGTTTGGTTCCCAGTTTAGTCATCCTTGCGAAATACGCTAATCGTTGGGTGAAATAATCCGCTGACTCAGCGTAAATCTTTGCGCTTTGAAATGACAAATTGGACACCTTTTCGCTTTTATAATCTGTAGAGGTTGACTGTGATTCACTTTAAGTCATAACACAATCAAATGTTAGGCACGCCACTCTATATGAGGCTGCTAGAGCCAGAGTGGCCTAATAAAAAAACATGATTTTCAATAAGGAGGAGAACAAAAATGCGCAATCAACTTAGGCGAAAATGAATTTGTACTATTAGTGTAAGAATTATGTTCACAATTTTTTGGTCACTCTGCTCTTGTAGATTAACATTTTAAGACTATGAAAATATAAATAACACATAAAATTGCAGTTAGGCCTCAATTATTCTATCAATTTCTACAGCAGATGCTAGACTTTCCCCTCAAATCTCTTGAAGTTCTAATAAACGACATTAATCACGCGTCTTTAGCGAGGTACCGCTAATGGTCCATTAATCATATTCAATGAATCACAAATTTCAACCATCATCCTGTTATGCCGTTATGTTATGATAATTTAGCTATTGATGCATTTACACGTTGTATCCAATCGGGCACGAAATTATCGTATAAGTTTTACACATGAACCGGTTACGATAGCAATATAATATAAACGGTAATCAAACCAAATACCCTGTCTTTTCTAGGATAAGACTATCTATGATCTCCTTAAAATTACTTAAAATACACACAAAATTGTCGCATCGAGTGAACAGAATTTTACTGTATATAGTAACAGATATATATAAATATATACTTAAGCCAAACAGCCCGAAGAAAAAGATATAATATCAATTTGTTTTTAGACATTCTTTGGTAACCTTAAACGGTTTATTATTACTAGAAAAACTAATGAACTCCTTTAACCATTATATTATATTTTAGGTATCCTGAACTTTTATTATTTATATATTATATGTAAAACAGAAACTTCTTTCCGATTGTTAAAAAAAGCCTTTCACCGTTAGCATATAAATAATAAAAAGTATCCATGAGCAATAGATCGTAGTATGTTATATTAATACTTTTAAAATATAATGTTATTTACTAAGTGATATTTATGTCTCTTCGTAATTTTTGTAATGTTTCATCGCTTACACCGGAACAGCATTGGAGGTATTTGAAGGTTTGTATAATTCTAAATAAATATTACGTAATATGTAAAATGACTCTAAACAAAGTTTAGTACATTTATATAGGGGGCAATTCTCATGATATATATCAAGATAGAAAATATTGCTCACTAGTTAGATACTATCGTATTGTCGTCAATGATATTTCACGTCGATGGGAATTACCCCCTTTTCCTTAGATATATTCATATTAATTGACTTTTTTACATTTCGGGGTCGTGCTTTTTTATGTTTATATTAATTTCGCTTTAATCTTACCATTTAAACTATGCTGCATGCTTTGTTCATTTTGTTTTAAAATCATATTTTTTATATAAGAATTTTTCATACCAAATGTACGTACCTACGTTCGACAATTGTTTCATTGAAGCTTAGTTGAAATTTGACCGCAATATCATTAAGATTTTCTGTAGTGACATAATCATTATACATTGTTTTAAAAAGCAACATAGCAAGTATTTAAATTTTAAGGACATTTAGTATTGGTAATAAATTACAACAATTAATTAAATAATTCCGATAAAGAGATGATAAATTATATTTGAAGTTAGGTGAATTTGTTGTATTAAGTTTGTACAAAAAACAATTAATATTATGATGTATAAAATAACAATGAAGCGATTTTTGATGGTTCACCTAGGATGCTACAGAGGGTAGGCAGACATTACAGTAACATAAATTTAGGCAGTGATTCCTTAAACCAATAAATGCTATACAGGTGTTTGAATATTTCACGCTGCTCGGACAGACATACACTCGTCTCCATGTTTGTGAGATTGTCAACAACCAACCATGCTGTCCGCCACAGCAAGTAAGTTTGCATGTCGTGATGAAGGTAGAATGTAGATTTTTTTGTTGTTGTAGACATTGTCCATCAATGTAAGTTTTATTTAAAAGCACTTACCCAGAAGGGCTTAGCATTATATCTTGTTACTTGACTCTTATTACAACAATGAAGTAAATATTCGAAAACTTTATTATTTTTCACATGTTATTGCACATGATGGCCCTATATAAATTGAAAATCGATTATAAATTAAAAAAAAAATTACGAATGAGGCAGGACTTGAACCGGTATTATCAGCGTTCCGTGCTATTGCTCTAACCAAATGAGCTACCGAGGCCTAATTATATCGCTTTTTTTTGTTTTGTTTTTCAATTTATCATCTATGAAGTAAACAGTTATTGATGAAACTTTAATAAACGAACTTCAAAATGTTTGAGTAATACTAGAAACATATAACATTCGTGATTAATACTTTATATAACTATTTATAATTATTGTTATAGATATTTTATCTTATTCAATTCAAACGTTATTTTTTATTCAATTTATAATTAATAAAATTTATAGGTAGACAGTTATTGAGCATGTATTTCTTTAATAAACGAACTTCAAAATGTGTGCTAAGAGTAGACATATAACATAAGGTTTGTAATTTACGAAAGTATTTATCTTGAAGCATGCAGCATTTTTTGTAATAATTAATTATTAATAGCTATATTTTAATAATAAGATTACGTAGGTTTTAAACTTACACTGTGTTTTACAATGTATTTAGTTAATATGTACCTGTACGTACTCAATGTTGTTTAGTGTGTATATCTGTTTTTTTTTGTTTTATATTCACTCTAATATATAACGATTTTTTATTGTTGCACACTAATATCGGTTTGATTTTAGTTTACATTTAAGTTTGGCATGTTGTTTAAGTATTATTGACGCGAATAGTATTCATTTAAACAAAACATCTTTAACGGTTTGTAACGTGTAATATTAATATATTATTACACAGTATTATTAGTAGTATTGACTCTTATCGTGTAATGTATTTTTATTGTTTAACATCTTTCAGACGTTTAGTAATAATTTAATAGCAGTCCACATTAATTAAATCCTGTATTTTTCAGGTGAACCGACACGTGAACGATTTATTCGAAGATCTGCGAGATGGGCTCAACCTCATATCCTTGCTGGAGGTGCTTTCTGGCGAACACCTGGTAATTATAAACTTATTATTAAGCTTACCCAGTGTTGAATGGCGATTACACTAAACTAGACACTACATTAAATTTGTTACATGTAAATGGCTTGTTTTAAGGGAAATCCGTCTAGGAAACGCATAAACCTACACTATTTAATATATAAAGCTGAAAAGTTTGTTTGTTTGAACGCTTTTTACACTAATTGCTGGTACGAATTGAAAAATCTTTTTTTCTTGATAAGAGCATTTAACGAGGAAGGCTAAACAACGAAGAACAAAAAAACAGCGGGAAATGTGAAAAAATGAGGAAAAACTATTAACAGCTTAAATTTATAAAGTTATATAACGGGAGGTTACGCGGACGAAGTCGCTGACACAGCTAGCTATTATTGATGTAAAATTGAATTATTCTGCAAGTAATCTTGAACACGCTACCGCAAACTATTGCCACCGTAAACAAACAGGTGCGGCAAAATTCCGCAACTTTTTTACCTGTATCGCCGCTGAACTCGTTTAAACCTCGCCTTGAAATTAAAAGAAAAATATCCCTATTACCGGAGTAATACGCAAAGTGCATGTCATGGTAGAAACTCATCGCTAACATGGGTGCGCCTTGATTTACGGCACCTTTATCGTCCATAAACTATTACGAAGGGCTTGGATAGTTTAAATATAATTTCCTTTAAAAAATGCCTGTTGTTTACGCGAGTAGTAACACGTTTAAATAAAACATTATAATAGTAAAACCTATACACAAATTATTACTACGTCCTGGCCAGTTTCACTAACGCAGAACAGATAGCGCTAGCATAGCAATTTTTACTTTGACATTAGATATACACTCCATCTCTAGATCCCCCGTGACTATGGCTGCTGCAAAGATTCTGAAATGCCGTAATTAAAATAATTTCAAATAAGTTAACATAATATATTTTTACGTCTTAAACCGTTAAAGTGTTTTATTTAAATCATATTCTTTTTATAAATGTTCCCATTTACAACTTATGACCGAAAATTTCTTCTTTGAACGATCCTAGATTATCGACTAGGAAAAAAACGTTCTTGTTTAACAAACAGATCAAAGTAAAGTAAATTTTTTAATAAGTACAACAAATTTGAAGAACTAAGATATTTTGGATACACGCTTTTATGGTTCGTACTTTACGCGAGTGGTACACATCTAAATGAAACACGTTTAACGGTTTAAAACGCCAATCAGGGCGACACAGCTACCCGACACATCGCGCCGTTATTAAAGTAAATTGCAAATAAGTGAACAGATATATTTCGCGTTTTAAACGGTTAAAATGTTTTATTTTGAAGTTTATAATTAATTTCCTAGCGTCAATTATTTTCATCTGAATTTATGTAAGCCTTTCATTGCGTTTTCAGCCGCGAGAACGAGGTCGAATGCGCTTCCACATGCTCCAGAATGTTCAGATGGCCCTGGATTTCCTCCGGTACAAGAAGATCAAGCTTGTCAACATCAGAGCTGAGGATATTGTCGACGGAAACCCGAAACTGACGCTTGGGCTGATTTGGACCATCATCCTGCACTTCCAGGTTAGTCATATTTCCATTTTTAACTGTGATTTAAACCTTTGCGCACGATTAAACAATTCCTTATTTAAAAGTTTCGAAGTTTCTTTTTTTAACGGTTTTAACTGTAGGTATACACTAAAAAGTAAATCGTTTTGACTAATTGAAGATCATTATTGTTTTTTGATCTTTATATTTACGTAAAACATTTTTATTCTCAATATTACACCTGAACTTGGACAGCAAATATTTTCCTCAAACGTCTAATCTCATTTTTAGTTTCATTTACCTTGTACTACATTTAAATGTACTTTAATTGGCTACTTATGGCCTAGACCTTTAAATGTATTTTGCCAAGCATTTGCGACACCTAATCCGCTTGACCTCAGATTTTCAATTATTTAAGCATCAACTCAGTAGTGGTATTAGAACAGTCTTCGATAAGCCTTTGTAATAGTGCTTTTTGTTTTGCCGCGTCACCGCTACTTCGGTTCACGTAACTTCTTAATTTTTCACAATTCACAAGATACATACCTCATTTCGCATAAGTACTTATTCAAAAGTCCTTAATATTGTTTACGGAACTTACACGTTTCTCATATTATCTATAGCGATTAGTCAAACAACCAGAGCAACCTCAGTTAAGACAAGGCTGTCATTAATTTTGTGAGAATCACGAAATCTACACGTTTCTAACAAAGTTTGAACACAATTATGTTTTATTGTTGTTACCACTGCAAGTATTACTATATGGTCATCGTAATACACAACTGTTAATTTAAATTTGTCAACATATTCCAATCTAGCTGTTACGAGTTTCAAATGTTTTGAAAAAAGGCTTCGACACACTTTGTGTCCATATCTTTTATCGATATTACTCGTCAAACAGATTGATTTTCTGTGTTCTAAATAACTATATATGTACTCCACATGTTGTTTTATCTGTCTTTAGGCCCACTTTAAAAACATTGCCCAATTTGGTATAATCCAAGCTGTATATCATTATATACGTGACACACTCTTATATTCATATCAGGGAGGATGTTGAAAATCCTAGATGGCCCTCATAATGTGTCATATGATGTGTTTGTTTAAGCTTCGATTACAATCTAAAGGCATTTGCAAACACCATTGACCATCAACATGTTTTATAATATATAAAATAATATTTTAATGTTGCTCGAGTAAGTAATTAACTTTTGGAGTAAGCTAAGAATTCTTGTCCTCGCTTCAAGTCATAGAACAAGAATTTCACAAACTTTATCTATTAGTGTTGCAAAAACGAGTTTCCTACGACCTTAACAGGACCGAATTTACGCAATAGAAATGGAAAGTGGATTGATTGTGCAATGTGACATTTTGACAAGATGACGTCATTCCATTGAAGACGCCTTATTTGGTGCGCATGAGCTTTTTGCGGATCTGATTTAATGTTATTGCGGCCATGAAAACTTTCACGAGAGTATAAATCCTCCTTGTCCGACCGTTATTTAAAATTTTATAATTCGATAGCTTCGAAAAATCGAATTCGACATATTTTAAGGGCAGGTCATTAATTCGATTTTCAAACGCGCGTAACAAAAATAACATTTTCACAATCGTTAATCATTTAGAAGAAGTTTCTTAAAAACTTATAAATTATCATTATTAAGTTAAAGAACAGATGTTCATGCAACTGTTTAAAATAACATTGAAATTGAACAGAGTTCAATAATTCCCACGTTTTTTGACCAGTTTCTGATGATCAAAGGCGACGCCGAAGCATTACAAGGTGATCCACAAAAGCGGAGATGTCGTTTTCGAAATCCGGATAAAGCAAATTCTAAGGGGGTATTGTATTGGGATACGGGGTTTTGTGAAATGTATTTGTGCTTAGCTAATGTGAGAGTCCTGGGCCCAAGCCTGCTTCTTTACGAACATCGACATGTAATTTTCAAACTGTCTGTAAAATGTCAAAAAGTCCGACGACAGGAAATTTTTAATAGCAGACTAGGGACCCTGTTTCTGGCAACCATAGCTTTGATGTAACCAACGTTTGGGTATTTGCTTTTATGACCAATCAGATTCAAGATAAACCGTTGATATGATAAGTCTCCACGTCTTTCGTGTCCTTTCAAGATAGGATGTTCATAGAGTCTTATAAAGGTGAAGCAGAGACAAGCTATGTAATAATTTGTCTATGTCACATAAATTATTTGGAAATGAAAATTAGTCTTTCTTTTTAATTGAAAAGGATACATATGATCAAATTTAGTAACCTCCTCCCATTTTCTTTGGTGAGAAAGGACGGTAGTGGTCTGTAAATTTGGAGATAGCCGGTGGATAACACCTATTTTTAACTGTAAACCAATAACAGGAATCTCGTGAAGCTTGATAGAGATTTATTGGAGATCCTGTGACAGGTAGATTGCATATTTCCCTGCAAACTGAATATTTCCTTTGATTCCGTTATGTTCGTCATGGCTGTGATGCCATCAATATTATTACTCTGAGGGTCGTTTTCAATTATGAATAGTTAGGATATAAAAAAGGGAGATATATTAGTGTGTCTATAGGATCTAAAAGAGAAATAAATATATCTATATATTTGTATCACATATTCACATAAATAGTAGGGTAAAATTAGTCTGACTGTTTAAGCTTGTGTGTTGAAAACATTATTTAGATATAATACAATAAAAGAAAACATTTCCACTTTTGATTGACCTAAGAAAGCGTCTTAGGTTCAAATTTGGAAAAAAAAATTTAGTTGAGCGTGGTAAAGATTCAAAAATGTGTCGTACCTCCCTATTCATAATCTATATATCTATATAGGTGTTGTCTGTATTTTACGTGAGGGTATACATCTAAATAAAACCCTCTTACCGGTTTAAACGTGACATATATAAACTTATTGTTAATTTATTCTAACTGCGACCCGACTTTCAGATGTTTTGCGATAGCCGTGGTCAAGGCAATAGTAACAAAAAATTAAAAATAATTTAGCTATTATATTTCGCGTTTTAAACCGTTATAAGTGTTTTATTTAAATGTATACTCTAATAGTAAAAATCCACGTGATTTAATCGTTTAGCAAATATTACACATTGTTTGCATCCGGGCTGAACATCTTTAAAAATAATGGATTGTTAATTTTTACCTCAAATGAAGATTACAAGTGTCATAATTAACATGACTAACTGCGTGGGTGGCGCTATTGCACGGTCCTTATATAGACATATTGTATGTTAACGTAAGCAACATATTATGTACTATAGTGATTTTATAGGTGAATTATGTCTTTATTGTACTAGAACTTAGTTGTCTAGCTTATAATATACTATATATATATATATTTTTTTATACTAATTCCTTTATATATTTTAAAATGTAAACAAGCGGACTTGAATTACAACTATAACGACTTAACATAGTAAGCGTAGAGAAAGGTGCTGGGTTCAAAACCTTAGAAAACACGATATATGCTTTCGGTCTCCGAGAGCCCAGTATCTTTTTTTTTTTGTAAAAATTGGGAGAAACATCGTTTTCACTTCGTGGGGCATGGCAAATCGGAGGATCGTTTCTCACAGACAACTAACTGATTGATCTGACTGGTGTGTCCTGCCGAAATAAAATATTTTTGCCCGCGATACGAACTCAAATTCTCTCTCGCGTTTAACGCGATGGCAATACGCATAAGGCAATATGCTTAACCATTTGACGGTCATACAGCAATACAGTGATAGTTAAAAATCGCGATAATTCATGAAATCCTTATTTATTTAAAGTTTTACCAATCCCAACTTTTAAATTACTGTTGTCTATGCCCTTTCTAGATAGTTGTAGATAGCTGTTTGGGTCAAGGGTTTTATCTATAACTAGTCTAGAGTCTGACCGGCGCCTATCTTGGCCTTGTCCTTTTTCTGCCAAGTGCCAACGTCAACAATAGATAAATGCATGAATAATATTAAAGCGAAGTATACATTCTCGGCTTAGGACACAGAAGGATAAACCGACCTATTACTAATTTAATCCACAGCGCGTTAATATTACGTTTTAAATACTTGCTATTTAAATAAAACATTTTTAACGGTTAAAAACGCGAAAGATATTAGTTAACTTATTTACAATTTTCAAATACAAACGTTTTCGGGAAGCACGGAACGTAATTGTAAATAAGTTTACTAATATATTTCGCGTTTTAAACCGTCTATAGTGTTTCCCCGTGACCACGGCTGCTGCAAAGCATCTGAAACGTCGGGCCGAAGTTAAAAATCATTTTCAAATAAGTTTAACTAATATATCGCGTTTTAAATCGTTAAAGTATTTTATTTAAATACGTTCAGCATGCAAAACATTCGCTAATTTATTGTGATAGTGGCCCGCATTGTGTACTAAGCAGTTGCATTAACTTGCTGTATTCTATTTGTATTATCTATAAAAAGACTTCGTTTGAATACATAAGTAGGGCATTTAACCAAAGGCAAAACCCAAACATTATATCGTTCAAGAAGGGCCTAAAACTCATATCAATTACTTGCTTGTATTAATATGACCATCAAATGTCTCTACCCTATGCCCCACATATTAAATATGGGGATGAAGAGGAAATTCAATAAATCAGAAGAAAGCTATTTAATTTAAAATGTATCGGTTTTGTTTTGCATTGATGTGTGTACTGGAAGCAATGTATGGCTTATAATCAAAGGATTAGATAAGGTCTGTGGGACCTTAGTGGGAGTTTAGTAATCAATTATTCAACTTCTACTGGGAATCGGGATATAAAATGGGTGATAGAAATATTTAAACTCCGTTCCGTTTCGGTTTGGATATGGATTTCCGAACATCCAAAGCCAAAACAGGTCGTATGGTTAGTAGGTTATATGGCTAGTGTATTTCAGCTACAAAGTAAACCGCACGTTCTATTATTAGTTAATCATATTTGAAAAAAGTGCATTAAAATTTTTAACCAATTACAAACAAGTTTTTCAATACTAATATATAGCGTACTATTCTAAACCGTTAAAGTATTTAATATAATTAATACTTATGTAAACCTACTCGGCCTAAAGTATTTGACAGACAGCGCTATTGATCCATATTATTAAATTAATAGGATCAACGTATCACGGATTAGAGATAATTGTTATCTTGTTGATCTGCATTGTAGTTAAACTTGTCTCAATGCATTAATATGTATGAAAAGGTGTTTATTATAATTGCGTGTGTTACATTTATAGTAGCTATTAACATGAGGAATAATTATTAAGTTTTTGCTCTCTCGCATAAGGATTTAATGTAAACAATATAAACAAGCGTCGTACATTGGCTAATTGGTAATCAAGTTAACCAAACCGCAGAGACCCTGGTCACGACGCGAACCTGCGCCGGCGCCGATCGTCCGCGAAACTGCCTTCTTCAGCTAAGTCCCTTATACTGCGTATGCTTTACTCGGGTATCTGTCCAGCTCTTTAAGCCCGTATTGCGGTGGTCCAGAATTAACGCCTAAGTCAAAGCCCCCTTCAGGGCACTTTTGGTCTAGCCGCAAACACGGCGAGCGTTAGCGCGATCGTCTAAATCTCTGCTTAGTGTTAGCTATGCTTAGCTAAAACGCGTAATTTATAATAAAAACTGGATAAGATTCTTTATTGTTTTAAAACTAGGAACTGATGCTTAAACACTTCCAAAGATCAACATGTAATGTACAGATCGAAACGTCGGGCCAAAGTTAAAAATCATTTTCAAATAAGTTTCAACTAATAACGCGTTTTAAACCGTTAAAGTGTTTTATTTAAAAGGTAGCTATGTATGTAGTAAACAACGGGCCGTGGATTCGATCCCCACCAGGTCCAATTTATTATTTTTATGAAACTTTGGACTTCGTCTAGTTATTATGGTTATTAAATGGGTGGTTGGAATATGAAAATCTGTCCGGGTCACTAACCCCAAATAGAAAAGCCATGAAGTTTAATTGCGTTTCGATTTCATCTTGTCTAGAATTTAGTGATCCCTCTTCTCTGTCTCTTATCACAAAATAGACTTACACTCGATTATTATTAATTTTTATTTTTTTTTGCTACAGTATAGATTGAGTTTAAGGGCTATCTTTGTTCTTTGGTCCAAGCTAAGTGTTCACACTGGTATTTGGTACAACACGAGTTCTTTCCGTTTGTTTAATAAGGTTTTGTATAATAGGTTTTCTACAGATTTCCTTCTGAGTGAAAATAATTAGATCCGCTTACGATCGGTTCTCGGAACTGGGTGTGACTAATGTTGCCTTTGCGCATCTAGGATATCCGTTTTAAGACAGTTTTCCAAACCATATAATGTTAAACTTTGCAAATAAGTGTTGAAATATATTATTTCGATTCGTGCCACTCCGTGTATTATTTTGATTGTATTGCAGCAGACTTACTTTAACTATTTAACCAGTTGGTCTAATGGTAGACCAAGGTAGGGCAAAGTATAGCCAATAATCAACGGGTCGTGGGTTCGAATCTATGTGTAATTTTTCTGAAACTCGGATGATCGATGGTATTTCACTTTCCCTGTAGTAAACCTCACGTTTGTCAGTCTAACACTATTTTAAAGAAATAATGTCCGCGCTGTAATATTACTTTTCTTGTAGTAATTGTAAAAATCTCGTCTTTCAAACGTGGTAAAATAAAATGTCTAACTCCTAAGTATAGCGACGAACGATCTAATTATTATAATACTCACACTATTAAACACTGTTAGCTCAGTCGGTTAGAGCAACAGAACGGAATGCCGTGGATGCCGGTTCAAGTCGTGCCGAAAATTTTTTTTTCTCAATAATGGATTGTGAATTTCACGTATGTCAGTGGCTAGTGGTAGTGGTATACCTTCACTGATCACTTTACCTCGAAATGTCACAGTACCAGGGGTGGGCGTCAAGGTCATATCACAGATGTTACGCTTGGTCGCCTACAAAACGCCTACATCCCCCAGATTTACTGCTTGTTATGCAACACAATTATGTTATCTGCATGTCGTGAATCGGCACAATGATTTCAAGACCTACATTTTATATTCCACTTAAAATATAACAATAATTCCATTTGCTTTTGCTTAAGTCCCTCTATTGTTTTCCTTGTGAATACCAATTTATACTATTCAAGAATCAAGCACATACAGTATTGATAACACTAATAAAATGTTATATAGTATTTAAATAAACAAAAAGATTACTGTGATTAAGTGATAGAATTACAATTTGCGATGCTAGCGCCATCTGTGATCCATTTAATAAACCAAGTACTCCACACGCGGATGTACAGACTTTTTCAACTATCTATTTAATTATTTATTAACTGTCTACGCAATCTTGGACAGACCCTGATGGTAAGTTATCCTATTCAAAGTAAATAACGACGAATAGGTAGCTTGATTTTATACCTTTGCTTACTGAAGTAATCTAACGCTAGATGGCGCTGCATACCACTATTAGGCTTTTTGCTTTAAAACCCAGCTAAGAGATGTCGCTACTAGTATCATAACAAATATAGTTCTGTACCAAGATAACTTTTTAAAACAAATTTGAGTCTTCAGTTAGTGCAACGTTGCTACAACGAAAATATATTTATATAAATAAGTTTTCTAGAATTCATAGGTAGCTAAGGATAGCTGGCATGTTAAAATAAATATTTGGAAGTGAATCTCACACAAAGCATTTATTCTTTGTGCGCCTATAGGAAATCAAAACCAAGACAATATTTAAAAAAAAAAACTTAAATAAGAATGCAGTCTTACTATAAACACCACCCACAGAACAATCATTTAAATTAATTCATGAATTATTTATTAATTACTTAATAGATACAATTCTTATTTCTGTATTCATTAAATGTACCTGTATTTATCTAAAAATACTTCCAATAAAGAATTTAAGAAGCGAAATCGCTGAATTACTCAATAAGCATTTGTTTTAGCACGGTGTAGAGTAGGCAATAGATGAGAATAAAAAGTTTGACTAAAAGTAAAAGTGTAACGAATGAAATCTCATGAAAGCCTATAAATTAATAGGTATTACAAATTTAAAATGCTTCCGTGGCTCAAACGCAATATTACGCGCAAAGTGATCCTAGGTTCGAGTCCCGTGAAAACAAATCGTTTCGGTTTGGCATGGCATTATGTCACATCCTAGGATCCAGTATACAAATAATCACAGTGTATTATTTAAAAACTAATCTGTTTCTTAACATGAAAACAACTTTGCAAAATATTTTACAAACTAGCTTGTTCGAGTATTTTTAAAAATTGGTATTTTAAAGCCACGTCGTTCACATCCCATCTAAAGTTAATATCAAAATATAGACAGTTGCTGTCGACGAAATTATTGTAGATCATTAAAGAGGAATCATTATTTTATACATAGTTTAACCGTTTTCAAGCAGCAGCTCACGCAACGGAAAACCTTTAAGATTAATTCCTTTTCTTTCCACATTTTCCACTCTTTCTTCGCTTCTTTTGGTCGCAGAATCATGTTTTATAGCATAAAACCTTCATAGATAAGTGCTCTAACACGAGAATTTGAACCAGTAATTCATGAGATAAGCGCGTTCAAACACACTCTTCAGCTTTATAATTTTAGTATTGACGACTTTCTACGCATTAGTCCTGTACGTTGTGGTAATAGAGCAAAAAATAAGAAGACAATGTACATATTAATTCACGTTAATCGTGATTCCATAGTCATGGTTTGATGCACTTTGCGCACGAGAACCGAACCGAACCGGCATTAAGCATGGCACGTCAGTCACCTGCCAGATACCGAACGAAGCGCGCGCGCAACGACAACAAACAGTTCGAAATTTGAAAATACGAATCGATTGACGGGGCGATTTTGTGGTGTGTTAAGTGTTGTGATTCGATACGCGTTCGATAGCGGTTGATCGAAACATCGATTGTGCTAATTTATATTGCCTTACGTTTAAGGCGCGCTTTGTTTATCCACAAAAGGTTTTATTTAGGTTTTAACATGTGAAAATCTAGTAGGTCATGCGATTGTTAGGATTGCGTACACTAGTAACAAATATCAAAAATCCTTCAAGTTTCCCTAACAATGATACCAAAAAGTAACGTTTCTATCACAACTATAGGATAATGAATTTCTTCAATTTCATTTATTTTGCTCTTTAAAATGCCGTTTGAAACTAATAAGTATTAATAAAGTTCAAGGTTATTTTATTATAGTGGATATAATACTTAAACATAAGCATCAAATATTAGAGATTGTTTTTGTATCATTATATTGAATATAACGCTGAAATAAAGCTTAAAACTGACTGTCCGGGGATCTAATTACCCGGGATTGGAACCCCAGGAATTCAAGGCGTGTAGGCAGCCCTTATATCAGGAATAAAAAATCGGAACAGTATGTATTTGGTCAACGAAGGCCTGCTCGTGGGCGTCATTGCCATGTCCCCCGCAAAAAATAACATTACATGCTTATTATGCAACCCACTTGTTTAATTGTCACTTTGATTTATCGAATCAATAATTTAATGGATCATAAAGGTTTTCACCTGCCCACTCGAAGTTTTGCAAGAAAAACTAAGAATGTGATGCAATTTTATTAAATACCATCTGTACACATTTAAATAAAACACTTTAACGGTTCAAAACGCGATATATATTAGCAGTCTCCCCGTGACCACGGCTGCTGCAAAGCATCCAAAACGTCGGGCCGTTGTTGAAGAATTTTCAAACAAGTTTAACTAATATATATCACGTTTTAAATCGTTAAAGTGTTTTATTTAAATGCAATTTTATTGTTTAAAACACTCGGTAGGTCATTTAACTTTTTATATTATTTCGGAAAAATGCAAAATTAATGTTTATACTCTTCTAATAAAATCAGGTTTTATGACTTTTAAAACCTGATATTTCCACTTGTGCTAGAATCCCACTTCTATTGTTTTTAAAAATATATACATTTCAATGAAACACTTTAACGGTTTAAAACGCGATATATTAGTTATTTATATTAACTAATATATCATGTTTTAAACAGTCAAAGTGTTTTATTCAAATGTGTATTACTCGCGTAAACTATAGACAGTATTTAAATATAGTTGCATTTAAATATTTCTTACTTACTAGATTTCGCTACGTATTGTATTATATAAAGTTACGTCAAACCCTGTTCAGTAGTTTTGCGTGAAAAAGGGACATATTTAGTATTTTAAAATGTCTGAAAGGTAATACATACAATTTCGGTTCGATTTAAAACAAACCTACAAACGCTTTGTCTTTAAACGCGGATTGAGTATCGGAGTACGTAACGCGATATTTTTAAAGATTTTCGTGTGAACCTAACAAATATCTTGCATGTAAGCATGTACCGAAAACAATAAATGTATTGTATTACATTGTGAATAAGGTCGAGCCGAGCCAATGTGTACTCTAGCAATTAGAGTCTTTTGCGAAGTGACATTTGGTGCTTACAAATATGGCAATGCCTCATACATTCTGAGAGCGAAGCTATAATCTTTAATCAGTAGGTCAAGATAGAATGATGATCTTTTTTATTATCGATATATTGAAGCAACTGATAATCAAAGGACTAACGAGGAAACACCTTAAACATGTATTTTTTTAATGATAAAGATGGACAGAAAATCATGGGATTTTTAAAGAAGGACAGACATGCGTGTGGTTCACTTGATGGTAGGTGATATATCCCAGTCTATAGCTTCTAAACAAGATGCACTATCGACATATTTTGGCTTTGAAAATTCGGAAACCCACAGACTGATACCGAAACGCGATTAAGCTTTACGGCTTTTTCATCTGTGGTGGTTCGTGGCCCGGGCGGAATTTGTATATTCCTACCGCCCATAATCCAGATTTCCAGACGACGTCCAACATGTTTCAGAAACCCATGGCCCGTTGATTATTAGCCGAACATTGCTGCCATTAGACCAACCTATACCTCTGATATCTTCTTAAATAAAACAAAAAAAACTGCACTTTATTAGTATATCTGCAACACTGCCAAGTATTCTAAAAATACTGCGCAGTTTTCTTTTAACTTACTTATACGTCTTAAAGTAATCCCCCAAATGTATAACGTCTTGAATCTGGCAGTTACATGGCTTCCCAAACATAATTAATTTATAGTTTATCCTTCCTTACCGATTACTATCATCCGATCCTTGACTTGTAAGGCTTCTAAGGACTGATATCGCATGTTCAACTGTTTTGATTGGATTTTACTAAGATCCTTTGTTCTTTGAGTTCTTGACTATCCTTTATATAAATATAACACTTGTTTTTTTATTCAATTAGATGTTCCTGGCTATTTCGATTGTGTGTACATCATTGAACCAGCAGTAAATGGTTAAGGAGCTTAATTCTTTACTGGGCAGTTCTTTTTATCAATAACAAATGACCACATCATCGCCATATTAACTCAAGAGATGCTTAATTTTACATAACTGTCTTACGTCAGTCTGGGTCAAGGTCTCGTTAACAGACAACCACAAACTTCAAATCTACTAAGGTCTTTGCATACAAGAATGAAATACATTAATAATTTAGGTATATATTTATAAAATTCTTTGAAAAACTCAATTTAATTGTTTGTTAAGTTTGGTAATAGTTCAAAGCGACAGGCGCCAATATTTGTACACAATAAAGGATATAGGTACGCAAACGTTTCCTTGACGCACTCGCTCCGGAAGGGCACAACCATATTCGTACGTCATCCCAAATACGGTCTGGTGACTTACCTAATCCAATCGTGCCTTGAATACTTTATTGGCTAACACGACGTTCACTTTCTTTACCAGCTTAAGTTTTTACAAGAAATCAGGTTCTAATAGATCGAGACAAATGAATTCAATCTCTTAACTATTTATCACTTATCGCGTTTTGTAACTTTTGTGTCGATTACTAGTTTTGTCACACAATTGTGTTGCCGAGGAACGCGTATCGAATCAGTAATAAGGAGATAATATTGCAGTGGTGAAGTTATGTGCCGGCCTGTGAAGCCCTGACAGGAACGAATCGAGAATGTCCATGTACAGATTTGTGAAAGAGGGCAGCAGTAAGCGCCTCTTCGTACAAGGGACTCTAGAAAGTGAGGAGAAACCGCTGAAATCGAGTTTAAAGAAGCCACACTCACCGGTAGGATCCCCGATAACAACAAGCCTGAATCTTCCGTCTGTCCCGAGGAGTCTCAGGGAGAGTTTGACCAGGCACGAGACTGTGTTTGATGGGAATTATCCGGGCATGGAACGCTACCGTTCTGGATCGTATAACGGTAGAATTGTCCACGATGGAAACCAGACACATTTCGAATACGATGGCGAGAGCGCGTTGGCCGTCCCGACATCAGCTGGTGGAAGAGGTGTGTCGGAAATGCAGGCGATTCATACGAACAAACGCTTGTCGACCGAGGTCCTGGGCTCCTCGCTGGAGTCTACGAAGGTCTCGAAGAAAGACGAAACAGGACAGAGGAGAATAACCACGCGCATAGTGAGAAAAGTGACTACTCTGACGCGTGGGGAAGAGAAGTCTTCGATGGAGGATTTGAGAGGGCGAGAGGTGCATCGATCTTCGGAGCAGTACAGACATTTCGAGATGGAATCCACACCTTCTAGAAAAGTCAAGGTATATTATAACTTATTGTGAATTACAAGTATCGCAATGGGAATTGTTAGGAGACCTCTAATGTATCATTAAATACCAAAACCTTAATATTAATTTCCACTACATCACGAATACAGTTATGTCTATGTAACAGATTATCAACTAAAAATACCTCACATGAATATACAAAACCAATTAAGTACAGTAATTACTATTTTTTAAGTGTAAAAGGAAATTGAACTGCTGTATATTTTAAGACATCCTTCACACTGAACGCGGTCATGTAATATGTCTTCCTTAGTTTTTTGATGAGAATAGTAGTGATTAGTAATAGCTTAGCTACTTCGCAAATAAAATCAAGTTTTTTTCGAGGTTGTTTTTATTAATTTGGATGAATTCGTATTTGCGTTTTATTTTCAAAGCGATTTAAACATTTGACCCTCATAGTTCTCACATTTGAAATATAAAACGTTGTTATTCTCTATTAACATAACATTTCTTTACGGTAATTACTCGTTGGTTATTACCCACTAGCTTTGGCCGCGACTTCGTCTGCGTGGAGTAGATACTTTGGGCATCTAAATTTGTTTTTGCATGTCTTTATAAATTTTAGGCGTCGTTCTTGTGAGTTAATCTAAAAAGATAGACATACTGCCTCGGATATTATGTTAGATCGTTTAAAGAGGAATAATATGTAACGATTTATGCCTACATATTTTTTTTATCTTGTGACGTTTTCGCAGCGCACCCAACGGAAACAAAACAAATATGTTTTTTTTTTCACATTTCTTACTGTTTTTTCGCAGCGTGTTATTTTATAGCATTTCTCGATAAACGCTCTGACCAGCACAAATATTTCTTTCAATTTAAATTTGTAGTTCCTAAGATTAGCGCGTTCAAACAAACAAACTCCTAACCTTTATAATATTAGTATAGATTTATAAGCATCACTTAAAGCTTAATTCAGAATCTTGAACTTGAAGATCATTAATAAAATTATATTTATGATATCAAAAGCTTATTGGAAAGCTATCAAGAGGGCATTGCTATACCACTCTTCAGATATTTCTAGAAAGTTGAGTGCTTGAGTAAGGTTTGAGTTATGTGTTGGCTTTTAAAGATAAACCAATGGCCGCTTCTTCGTCTGTTTAATACAACCGTTATGGATTGTTAAACAATATTACACTAGCTAAATCAGCAAACGTTTCGTTGTTTGTAAGATGTATATTACGTTGATACAACTCAAACAATACCATAAAAACGGTGGGAGGACATCGTAAAGGAAGGAGTATACCGTCGCGGACATTTGTTTAAATTCTTTAAAGAGAAGTGAGATAATAATTTTCCTTGCTTATTCGACATTTGTCGCAACGTGAAGTTGCGAAGTCTATCGAACTCAAAAAGAACTTTCAATACGAACCAGTAGTTTCTGAGATTAGCAAGTTAAAAAACTCTTCGGCTTTTTAATATAATATTCGTATAAATACATATTATCTACTTAATTATATAAATAAGTGACTGAAGTAAAGTATTTGTCCTGCATAAACAGTAGGACAAATAAAAATAATTCCCGACCACCTGTCACCTGATGCAAAGATCTGATAGACCGATTGTAATGCGGTCTGAATTGACAAATGGATCTCTTTGATGTATGTAAGACTAAGACGTGACCGAGTTATATCCTTCCTTGACTGAATGGAGTAAAAATTGACAAGTATTGTGTGTAGTATACGCAAGTAGTAACTATTTAAATAAAACATACATATTTAAATACACTTTAACGGTTTATAACGCGAAATATATAAATTGAACTTATTTACAACTTATTTTTACAAATCTATTTCGCGTTTTAAACTGTTTATTTCAAAGTAATGTGATTCTAAGAAACCTCTTATAGTAAGCCAAATAAGGTTTTACGTAAGATAACTTATTTATAATAATTCATATTGTAGCCCAGGAGAGCTGTATATTAAAAAAACATACAGCTATGGCTGCTGGCGCTAAGGCTAAATAAAACAGGCTACGTGATCTTTGAGGGCTTCTGTTGCGTGCGCTACGAACACACAGTTCAAGAATCCAAAAATCCTTAGGAAAAAAATATTTATTTATAAACGAAAAATATTTTCTATTGAAATTCTAACAACACTCATGAAGCGATGCGATATTTCAAATTATAATCACACGTCTTTGACCGGATGACGTCACCGGTTTATGTCATACATTTTATGCGCGTCCTTCTTCAAAATTACTGGTTGTGTAGCCTCTTGTTTACATAACTAAATAATTAAAACCTTTTATTACTTTGCATAGTACAAGCCTTACATTTTTTTTTTACTAAAAAAACTTTTTACACAAAAGAAAAGAAAGATATACAAACGAGACTTATATACTAAAAACATGCAGTGCAATGGACGGCCTTAGCGCTTACAAGCAATCTCTTCTAGACAACCTAAGATGGAAGATGATAAAGTTTACTAGAAAACGAGATGTGCAAGATGGGCGAAACAAAATATACAATCTTCAAAATATAAAAAAAAGTCCTTTACAAATAAACCTAAATAAGAAGGAATACGCAAGACATTGATTAGATTTATTCACTTGGTAAATAATGCATTTATTTATAAATATTGTTACATTTGATATTTATTTTTAATTTTATGTAGGATCAATTAAGTATTAGATACTATATTAAAATAATAAATTCGCTAAAGTTATCGTCACATAACTATAAATAATATTGAAATGTCATCTTTTATGATAGAGGAATACATCCATTGGGCTCACTTAAGGCACTGGAAATACCTGAGCCATATAACATCTAAACAAGAGGCGTTGTCATCCTATTTTGGCTTCGGGTAGTCGGAAACAGACTGAAACTAAAACGCGATTAAAGATTCATCATTCATGTGCACCAATTTAATATTCAGTTTACCAGACGAAGTCCAACCTGTTTCAGAAAGATTATAAATTGATTAGAAAAATGTTGGACCCGATGGGGATCGAATCATGACCTTTTTTTTGCTACCATTACACCAACGAGTACTTATTTTTTAAGGTTTTAAAACATATAATTATATTACACTTTACCATTTAGCAGACATTTCTCAAGAAACAATATGATCATTTTCTTCTCAAGCAATCCACTATGTGCATTGATGCGGGCAACGGATGGACGCGGAAAGTGTAGCATTATTTGCATTTCTCCATAATTATAACATTCGCATAAATAAAATTGCTTCAGTGGCTATGAAATGCTTTAAACGTTTCTATTAAATCTTGAATTAATATATGTAACTGTCATCTCATTATGGTAACTAGACTGAAACATTATGTTTCATTTAGACTTCTTCTAGTTCTTCCACTTTGAGGATGTTTGCTTACACAAAAATAGAATATGAATTTTACTTTTGTGCTTGGATAATTAAATATAAAAGGACAAAAAATAAATAACACTTTAACGGTTTAAAACGTAATATATAGTAGTTAAACTTATTTGAAAATCATTTGGTCAGCGTCAGCTCCCTCTGAGTTGTAACCGCGGCTGCTCCGATCCGAAGCGTCGGGCCGTAGTTAAAATATTTCTCAAAAAAAAAATTAACTAATATATATCGCGTTTTAAACCGTTAAAGTGTTTTATTTAAATGTGTACTACTCGCGTAAACTACAGACAGTATTTAAAGGACATATGATACCAAAAATGAAATAGCGATAAGTACAAAAGTTTCACTATTCATCTTATGTTAATTAAATTAAAAACTAACAAAATCAATTCCATTAAAAAGAAAAATTATTCACCTTTAAGTTTTTACCTGATTAAGTAACAATTGTGGGTCAAATTCTTTGTAAGGAATGATTCATGTTTGTGATTGTTACCTCGATTTAGTTTCTAGTCATCATCTGTAGATGATGGAAGCATGTTCTAATTTAATTGGATATAATCATCAATCAAGTTTCACTTAATACTAATGCTGTAACCATTAGCAAGCTCAATTGTCTGTGACATATGCGAGTCGTGGTCATCTGCAATGTATACAAGACACCCTGTATCAACGACTACGTCTGCGTAGAATAGTTTATTTCGGGCAAGAAAAAATGTTTTTGCAAACCTTCTCATCCTGCACTCCCCGTCGTACTTGAAAGATAATCTTAAAGTTACATAATATGTAGTATCGCGGACAAGTTTTTACATCATTTAAAGAGATATCATTCTTTCATAAATATTTTTTCGGGTATCTTGAACCGTTTTCGCAGCGCGCGCATCGTTTTCCCACAAAGATTAACAATTTTCACCATTTTTTCCACATTTCCCGACGTTTCTTCGATGAATGCTCTAACCAACGAAAAACATTTTACCAAGTCGAACCAGTAGTTCCAGAGAAGTACGTTCAAACAAACAAACTCTTCATATATATGTAATAGTATAGATGTAAATTAGTAAATGTCATTTGATGTCGTAAATTCACGTGTGTCCCGTACACACATTTGTGCATAATGCAGTGCTCAAAATTCACTATTACCATAATTGTACAATGCATGTACTTAGACAAATAATTCAGCCTGTTTGAAAATTATTCCAATTACTCCCCGACGTTTCGCTTATAAATAATAACTAATATATACCGCGTTTTAAACCGTCAAAGTGTTAACTTATATGTGTACTACTCGCTTAAACTACAGATAGGATTTTATTCAGTTTTTTTTTCTTCTTGCGTGTCATATAAAGAGGTCAATCAAGTTAAACATTCTAAACTTCGGAGGGTAGTTGTATTTTTCAAGTAGTTGCAAATTGTATAATATAGCTTTCATTTATCTCAAGAGCGACACATAGGTCAATGTATCTAGTCATAATTCTTCGAAACGGCTAAACCTAGATGTTCAGTTTATTTCAAGTCTGAACTTTAACTGGTGAGGAATGCTGGATCATCTATTATTGCAGCTTTATTCGTGTCTGTCTCGTTTCTATCTTCACATGGCTGCATTTGACCTCTTCAGCACATAACACTTAATGAATCGATCTAAAC